GAGAGAGAGAGAGAGAGAGAGAGAGAGAGAGAGAGAAGAATAAGGGAAATTACTGGTTTTAGTAATGTTCTTATTTTATGATTTTAATTATATATCAGATCTGTGCCAGACCCAATTTAGGACAGAGAAATCTGTCTCCCCAGACTCAACAAATACCACCTTCTTTCTAAAACCCTTTCCCACTCACTTCTACCCCCATCCCAGGCAGAATTAATCTTTCTCTCTTATTTTTGCTGTCACAGAATTGCATGTGTCGAGGGCTTGCAGAACCTACATATTGATAGATTTATATTTCTTCACTCACCTTTGAGTTTTCCCTACTTTTTGGTTCCCACTGCAACATACAACAGTGTTCTGTATCTAATGGCTACTCAAGGAATGCTTATCCAGTTGAAGGTCATTTTCTCCTTCAAAAACAGCTAAAATCTGGTGTCTGTAGAATTAAAGGGATGCACGTGATAAAGCCTTTAAGAGTTTCTGAAGGAGAGGACATATCTAAATATATTCATAGCCCCTTTGCTATTTCACGCATTCCTGTTTTCAGTTAATCTTCTCCCCTTGACCATCTGACTTCTATTTGCTGGATTCCCAAAGGCAAAAGAAAACCACACTGTTGAGCAACCGCAGAGAGCAAGAGTTACACACTCAACTGCCAGCACCCAGAGCAAACCCATTCCAGGTGGAGAATGACCAAAAAATCTTTATCATTTTGTGACCTATGTCAAGTATGTTGAAAGTCTGCCAAAGCTTCCTCACTTCCAATGAACCTCTCTTATTCTGGATGCATTTTAGAATAAGCTAAGCAAAGTTTCAGTGCTGAGAGGTGAAGAGATGTGCTTGGTAGTTTAGGTATATTTTAAGTCATTATTTGTTTTCTTTCTCACTTCCATTACTGAATGGATACACAGATGCCCTATGAAAAAGATTCATGATATAAGATAGGATATTAGACTAAACTATTCTTAAAATATCTTTTACAATTTTAAAATACTGTGATTTAAAAAAAAATAAAATACTGTGATTTGAAAGGTTGTGGTGTGAATTTTTATTTTCTACATTTTTGCATTTTCAAAAATGAGATTTTAGGACCCAGATGTAAGTGCATATGGATAGCAGGTATGCAAATTGGTATAATTGTTTTGAAGGGAAATTTGGTATTATTATTGAAATGATAATTTTTTTATTTTTATTTTTTTTTTTTTGCATCTCATTGTCCCAGTGACTATACTTCTAAAAATTCCTCTTCAGGAAATATTTAAGGATATACAACAAGATTTATCTGCAAAGATATTTGTTGCTGTGTTGTTTATACAAGTGGAAGATTGAAACTAAATAGGGCAGAATGGTGAAATATTTTATTAATCTATACAATAAAATGTTAATAGGAAATTAAGCTGTTATTTTAGGTAAATAGATGTATATTTAGGTAAATAGATGAATATTGTGAAGTATGATGGGTATCATTTTAGTTGAAAAACTTCAGATGCACAAGTTGACACACAGAATAATAAAAATTATGATTTGGAGTTAACAGATATGGTTTAAAACCAGGCATTTCTATTTGCTGGCTACAGGATCTTTGACTTGAACCTGAGCTACATAAATGGATTGATGGTATTTGTAAAGCACATAGCACCTATTCAAATCTCTACATGGTGATTTTTTCATTGGCAATCATTAAATGTTTGTATGTAAGCTTAAATTATAATATATTTTTTGTTAAAAATATAAAAAGAGGCTTAGCTCTACACTAAATATATTTCAGTTTTAATAGTGATTATCGTTTTTGGTACTAAGATTTTCAAAACATTTTTATAGTAAACATAAAATAAAAATCATATAGTAAAACCTAATGGGATTTGTTTTTAATGCAGTTATATTTTAATTAAATCTTTAAAAAAAATATTTATAACTATTGACACAGGAAACCTCTACATTGGTGACTTTCTGCTTTTTAAGTTGATTTCATCAACAAGTCATCAAAATGACTAGCGGACTGTTGGTGTCACCCATGCTATAAAAAGGATAAATGACAGGGCATGGAGTTTGTCACCTCTGATATAAACTTAGATTTGTTTTGTAGCAACGAGAAGTCATGCCCAGCTCAGCAAAATATGGTGTT